GGGGGTCGGACTCGATGATCTATTGAGGTCCCTTCCGACCCTAACATCTATGAATCTGTGCCAATTGCAGGGGACAGAGACCTCATCTTGTATTTGAATAAATACGGTAATTTTATTGCTTATTCCAGGGGTAAGCAACCCCTGGCACTCAAGCCAGAGCATGACACGTGGAGGCATTTTGTTTGGCACTCACACCTTGGGGAAGGGGCTGGGGCTGTGCTGCCACAACAAGGATCGAGCCACTCATGGCTTCCTCACCATCCACCACTGGCACAACCAACATCTTACAAATCAAGGTTGTTGGTATTTTTGTATTCTGCCCCAAAAAGTTGTTGATCCCTGTCTTAGTCCTTGGTTCATTATGCCATTTATTGCATTAATGTGTGGCTGGGGTACTTCTTAAAATGTGATTAACTAGCTGATCATGTCTTAAGTGACGATGTGATTAACTAGCTGATCATGTCTTAAGTGAAATGTCTGCCAGGGACTAAAGAACATGGAGATATTTTTCCAGAATGCTTTCAGCATTTATATTAGTAGGTAGTAACGCAGTAACGCCTGCTTTAACGTTAATTGTATAACTGCTGTTTAATTTCAGATAATTATAATAGCCATATGTGAAATTCTCTTGCTGTCTGTGCTTAAGATCTGTTATATACGCTATGCTTTGCTATCTACCTACTCCAGCCTTAATATTGAAAGGTATTTTTGTGCCTGCATTGTCATCAAGAATCGAAGTACTTTAAGGAAATAAGGAGTGGGACAAGTTTAAAATTTCTTCCTCTTTAGAACATCTGCAATAAATGAAAGATGAGGCATTTCAAATACTTCAAAGACCATAAACACCATCTAATTGCTAAGTATTTATCCTAAAGTAATTTGTCTAATTAAAATTCCAGGGATATAATTATGGTGCTATACTTATGTCTCATTATGATGTAATTTTAATTTTTGTATCATATTATATTGTACTTAAACTCAATGTGTTGATATTAGTAACTGAAATAGTATTCTGTCTTTGGTTTGCCTTTATTAGTAAAAGTATTACTAAAAATAGAAAATATTGTGATTGTTCAGTTATTCCTTTCAGAAGTTTAGTCATTTTACAAAAAATAACATCAGTAATATGCCATTTTATATGGTCATTTGCCAAAGTTAAAACCCAATTTTATAGGTAACGTACTCTGTACCACCCTGCATACTTTCCCAGGACTTAAAAACATGGGCAAGTGCTGTAGGGGTTGCATCCCACGTTTAGTGATGTGTATTCAGTTCAAAGTTATGCTTCATTTGTGATGTTTTTAACTGAGTGCTTTTATATTTCCCTTTAAAGATTATGACTCGGATGCCATGAGCAGCTCTTATGAATCATATGATGAAGAGGAGGAGGATGGGAAGGGGAAAAAAATGAGACATCAATGGCCTTCTGAGGAGGCCTCTATGGACCTAGTGAAGGATGCTAAGATCTGTGCCTTCCTCCTAAGAAAGAAGCGTTTTGGACAATGGACCAAATTACTGTGTGTTATCAAAGAAAACAAACTACTGGTAATTATTATTTAATTGGGCAATACTTGCTTTACTATTTATGATTTTTAAGGATATATTAAAACTGTTTATGAACCATATATAAAGTGTAAATAGCAATCAGAGAGAGGTAGGTAGACATGATAGTCTGAAGGCAGGCAGAAAGCAGGGTAGGTATGCAATAGACTAACTGAATGAGATATACGTAGACAGCACAAGATATGATCTTGAGTTCACTTCATCTGATGCTGGGAAAGGACAGCATAGAGAAGTGAATGAAATGAAATCGCTCCACTTTATATACACTGCTCTACGCTGTCCTTTCATAGCATCTAATGAAATAAACTTGAGTTCATGAAAGCTTGTGCTATCTATGTATCTTATTTAGTTAGACAGTGGTAGTCAGTGTCAGTAATGTTATCAAAGGACCCACTCATGGGTTACTTAAGAATGAGGACTCTGAATTTATGAATATATGGCTTTTTTGAGGCACTTCAAATATGAAACTTTGTCACTGAAATCTATACCCAAGAGAATTCCCGAATGCAGGGAAGCTAGTCTGCAGCCTGTTTCCTTCTCATACATTTCAGATGAGAGAATTCATGAAACCCCGAGAACCCAAGCCTGAATTCCCTGTGGAGGCAAAAAACCTCATTGGACTCTTTGGGCTTTTTGCCTATATAAGAGCTCTTGGATCAGACCCTTAAGAGAAAACAAGTCTTTGTTAGATTGAGCAATCGACTTGGCAACATATGTTATAGTAATGTATATGCTTTAAACACAACCCTCACCATCTGTTCTGCTGTAATTACAGATGCAATATTCACGATACGCAGCTGCAACATAGAAAGGAAAGATATAAGTCATTTAAATGTCTTCATACGTTCTTTCTTTGGTGCTCTGCTGTATTCCTCTTATGTTGCAGGCAACAGTGGAGGATCCAATGTTAGTAAATTCACAGTCCAAGCTTGTTATTTACGGGAAAAAGAATTATATAGGCTTTCTTTTATATAACATTATAAACCTTACAAGGGTTCTAAAGTAAATTGCTAAATCATTTGGGAATCTTAGAAATTGCCTGTCCCCCTATGCAGTGCCAACGCAACTATAACTAGAGATGAATTTTTGGTGGCAGCATCTCAACTTTAAAATAAATTGGTATGAGAGCTTGCAAGACACTTGCCACAAGGAGCTTAGTTTGCCCATTGACCCACTACAGCCCAGGTCTTCCAGCCTTCCAACTAAGTTATTATTTTGACTGCATGAGAAGGGACAGGTCAAGGGAAATAGATCTTGAGATTAAGGCATTGCTAACAATGATGTGGAATTCTATTATTATATGGTCAGTTCAATTTACATTTGGGGAATTTTATTTTGACACTGAGTTTATCTTCCATGACCAAAAAGAACCCTTTGAGTCTGGAGTGACATGTGTTTTTAACTTCATTAGATTCACTGACAGTAATCTAGATTTAGAACAATATGCAAGATCAGAATCAGGGTCTTGCAATAAAGATTATTAATTTAAAATTGAGAAAGAGAAGGGTGGGAGTTGTTTTGCTTTGGGTTTTTTTTTTTGTTTAAGTCTGTTATAGATCATTTAGAATTAACTTTGTTTGTTTAAAAGCTTGCCAGTACTCTTTTTTGCCTTTCTAACCACATGTACTGGCTGAAGTTATTTTTTTCCCCAGGGCTTTCTTATTTCTATCGTAATGAGGATTATGAAAATATAAACTATAAGTGTTGAACGAGCAATTTGTGAGATTAGTGTTCTAATTTTTTTCCAAAAGTTAACTAACCTGTGATTTACACAGAAACCAATACAGTTGTATATGTGTGTTTAGGGATTAGTAATTGCCTGTATTATAAATGCAGGATTTGGATGAAGCCAAAATCATTTTACAGCTGAATCGGACATTCAGTAGAAATATACTGTCAGATAATTGCTTTCTGCACAGCCTCATATGGCAACATTTAGTATGCAAATGTTGTGTTTTTATTAGATTTCCATATGAACTTCTAAAAATACACACTAGAAATGTATCTAAATACATGCCTCAAAATGTTTTATAAAGTGGGAAAAGATGCTATTTTTTCAGACTCCCATGTCATAAAGATATTTTTTTAATATAAAAAGTTTATTCAAAATATTATTCATCATTCAGCAATACTACAAAGGTTGGTTTAGAGCAGGGGTGGGCAATTATTTTCGGCGGAGGGCCGCATACTGAGTTTTTGGCAAGCCATTGAGGGCTGCATGACATGCAGCCAAGGGCAGATAAATATTAATTTTCTAAATTTTTTAGGGGCCCTGCAGGCCAGATAGAATGGGCTGGCAGGCTGCATCTGGCCCGCAGGCCACATTTTGCCCACCCCTGGTTTAGAGGGAATATACTTGGTCTGCTTTAGCTGTAGTCTTTGGAATAACCTATCAACAGTTACTGTGTTCCTATATTTCGCTCATGAAATGGGTCCGAACAAAAGTGTTAAAATAAGGTACTTTAGGTTTATGTACAAAAATGCATGTGATCTTATTTTCCTTCATATATATTCAGCTGTTCTTACAGCATATATAAATCTGGCTTTTCCATCAGCTCATCTGAATGTACAGAAGCCCATTTTGCGTATGGAGTTGGAGTAACTAGACATTCAAATAACATAAATCAATGCAAAAGAATGTTATTAGTCTGATACTTTGTGTATTAAAACTGAATAAAACAACCACACCAACAGAAGTGAAGTCAGAAGGATGCATGGTCAACAGGGAGACTGGCTGTCCATAGTACTAGTCATACTATCTAAAGCCTTCCCTCATTAGGCCTTTGGTTCAAGTCTGAGCCAGGTCTTCAGTGATCCAGCATCAGAAGGGCATTATAGATTTGTTCACTGTTGAAGAGGAGAAAAATTCTCATTTCATAGCTCTATCAATGTTAGCAGGTCAGTTAAAGAGTAAGTGGGCATGGAGTCTGAACTGCGCTCTGACAGTCTGATCCAGTTCAGGCTACAGTCACAGTGATAGGATAAATAAGGTCACTTTGCCATTCACCATACAGTAGTTTTCTATTATTAAATATGTCCACTAGTATTAATCGGGCAGTAATTTCACTTCAAGAAAGATGGGGAAAAAAGTAAAGATAACTTTGATTAACTTTCCAGTATTTGTTAATGAGACAAGCAAAAAAAAAAAAATGTTGCTTGGTAGTAAGGATTTTCTTTGTGTGTGAAGCAAATTAAGCTTTCACCTAACACTACTTTATTTTTATTTAGTGTTATAAAAGTTCGAAGGATCAGCAACCTCAGATGGAACTGCTCTTGAATGACTGCAGCATCACATATATTCCCAAAGACAGCAAAAAGAAGAAGCATGAGCTGAAAATCAGTCATCAAGGAACAGATGCACTGGTTCTAGCAGTACAAAGCAAAGAGCAGGCAGAGCAGTGGTTGAAGGTACAGTGTGATTTCTGATTAGTTGCATTCTTACCAATTCTTCCAGGGATAAAGTATTGCTTGTCTGTTATTAATGGTTGAAAATGTGATTTTGCTTCTAGGTAGTCGGGGTCTTATCTATGCAGGGTATGGGCTCTTCCTTGCCATTGACACTGACACTTAATCTTTATCACATACAATTTTTACTAATAAAATTAGTTGATGACTCTTATTAGAGTGCTACATTGTGACGATTGACCCTTTTTGCCTCTACAAAGCTGTAGTTACTACTTACATGATTCTGTAATGCTGCTTAGCCCGAATTCTAGGAATCAAGTTAACACTAGAGGTGCACCGATACATGGATCTGATACTGGATCGGCACTGATACAGAGAAAATTTACTATATTGGAAGTCATCCATATCAGGCTGATAATTTGGTCATTAAATGGTCTGTGCATGCATTCAACCGCAGTGCAGCACAGGCAGCTAAGAGCACAGCCCAGCAGCATGGAGAGATGCCTCCAGCTGGTAAATCTAGTGTGGTGGAAGGGGAGAGGGGAGAGTGGAGGGAAGGCACTGGGGGTGGGGCAGATCAAGGTCCCCACAGTAAGGGAAGAGCAGGGCTGGGGCAAGCGCTACTCAGCTGGGGCGGGGTGGGTGTGACAGAGCTGCGGCATGTCCTGGGGATGCAGGGAGGTGGGGGGGCTCCCACTGCTGCGTGCTGCTTGGCTGGGAGCCTCTGGTCTGGAGCTTCTTCCAGCGCTCACCTGCTGATCTGGTTGTTCCTGCTGCTCATCCAGGAGGGCACAGAGGGAGGGGAGGGCCTGAGCCCCTGGATCTGTGCGGGGTAGGCTACAGCCATGGGGGGGGAAGAAGGGAAGGGGCTGCAGCCAGAAATTTGCCATAGCCCCTTCCTGGCACAGCCCCACTCCTCCCAGAAGAGCTTAGCGCAGCCCCAGCCCGCCTTACTGCACACAGAGCTGGGGGCACATGCTCTGAGATGAGCGGCGGGAGCAGCAGCAGGAGCCGCCAGACAAGCAGGCAAGTGCTAAACAAGCCACCAGCTGAATGGCTCTCAGCCGAGTGATGTACAGTGGCAGGAGCTGCCTTCCAGCCTCCCCTGGATGAGCTGTGGCTCTGTGCCACACCTGCTCTGCTCCGCCCTGGTTGGGCAGCGCTTGCCCCAGCCTCACTCTCCATCACCGCGGGGGCCTTGATCTGCCCCCCCACAACCCTTCCCTCCCCAGACTTACCAGCTGGAGGCAGCTCTGCATGCTGCCAGGCTGGGTATCGGAAATCGGATCCGTATTGGCTGATATGCCTCCTTAAAAATCGGCTATCAGTATTGGCCACAAAAATCTGTATCGGTGCACCCGTAGTTAATACCTGAACTGTCATGTGTTGAAAAGCAGTGTCTAATAGGAAAAATGAAGTTTTGACTTGGTGGCGAGCACATCAGCCTTATTTCAGTAAAGTCTTCGAACCAAACAAAATTTCCTGACCTGCATTACTGAATATTGGGAAGAAAGAAGCACTTTGTCATTTAAAACACTGAATTAAGGTTGCTACTGACTTTAAAAAAGGAATAAAAGAAAGTGAGCAGAATTGCATTGTTTATACTTACACATTTCCAGCAAATAATTGATAACAGTTAGTCAGTATTAAGTTGATACATTTTATTGTTTTTTATAAAGTATTACATACAATCTCTTTAGATAAATTTAATTGAAAAGAAATAGGAAAATGTTCTTTTTCAGTTGGAGACTTGCACCTGTCAGTCTTCAATACACTGAAATGGAGCAAGAAATCATAGAGGAATCAGATAAGGCTTATTGGCATATTGCAAACCTATACATGATCAGTCACAGTCTAAGAGAATTCTCATTGAAAAAAGAATTGCTCTTGTCAGCAAGACTATCCTGCACTATCGTATGTTTATTATTAGGTTTTCAGAATCTTCACTTTTTCCGCTAATTTCCTACTTTTAGTATCTGGTTCAATAAAAGATATCACCCACAAGAATCCTTGTCTCTCCTGTCTTTCCTGGACCATCACAGCAACAGCATCATTTCAACACTATATAATATAAGAGGGTTTATTCTGAACATCAACCGCATATGCTTTGTACAGTATTAATGAGAGAGGAAAATGTACTTTGGGAACATTAATCTATGTTTCGTCTGAGTGTGATTTCATATTTTTCAGGGGTGGGCAATTATTTTGGGTAGAGGGCCGCTTAAGAAGTTTCGGTGAGCTGGGCCAGCAGTATCTTGCAGCCCGGCTTCAACTTGACAGATGCCTGCCCCCTGGTCACCATTTTAGGACTGGAAGTCCTACCCCTGACCGCTGAGCTTTGCCACCAAAAGTCCCTCCCCTTGGCCCCCGAAGTACTCCTTTGGTTGTTTGCCATGTTGGAACTGGAAAAAAAACAAATTTATACTAAAAATCAAACATCCATAATAACATATTTTAATTGTATTTCAAAAAATGTATTTGTCCTCACTTATCTATGTTTGTATGGTGTGTGTGTGTATATATAGAGATGATTGCATAATAGCTTAAAATGAAGCCTTATTGAAGCCTCTTGTTTATTGTGGGAGGGGTGGGGGACTTTGTGTCGGGTTGCGGTAGGACGAGGTAGGTGTGGATGGGTGGGTGGGTATGGGGCTTGTGTGGGGGGGTACATGTGTATGGTGGAATGTATGTGTGGGACCCCCTCCCCCTTTGCATAGCCCCTGCCGCCAGCAGCAGCAGCAGGCAGCGGACCCTTGGTTGCTTACAGCCCATGGCAGGCAGATTCCCCTGGCGGTGCATGGTCTCAGTGAGCCCCAGGGCTGCACGTGGCTGGGCTGCTGGCTCCGTCACACAGGGCTCAAATGCCAGAGCCTTGCACCACCGGGCGGAACCCTGTGTGATGAAGTCAGTGGTACAGAGCATGGTGCTCTTCTGGGGTGGCAAGGAGAGGGGTCAAATCAGCCCGGTTCTACAGCACGGAGCTCCCCACTGTTCCCCATGACCTGCGTGCTGCAGTGAGCAGGCAGAGCTGCTGACTCTATCATGCGTGACTCCCCCTAGAGGTACGTGGGGTGGAGAGCCTGGGAACTGCATGTAAGCCCCAGGGAGCCCTGCATGATAGAGCCAGGCAGATCTCAGGCCCTGCCAGCCTGTGCTTCACACTTCTCCTGTTGCCCCGCTCTGGGCCTCTGCCAGCCCTGGAGCACCAGCATGGACCCTGCACTCCTGCCCACCTGCTGCTGCCCCCCAACCCGTTGCTGCCAGTTCTGCTTTCTGCCCACCTGCCACTGCCACTTCCCTACCACCACCACCACTGCTTCCCCACCTGCAGGGCTGGGGTCAGAGCTGTACCACAGGCAAGTGTGGGAGCGCAGTGTGTGCTGCCCCTGCAGGAGTAAGCGGGGCTCGGCCTCATGCAAACACAAGCAGGGGCAGCCCAGGGCCGGGCCGGATACAGTCACCCGTGGGATAGTACCCACCCACAGCCCAGATGAAATCGCCTGGCAGGTTGGATCCATCCCATGGGCCATATTTTGCCCACCCTGGATATATTTGTTGAATTCCCAGGAATTCTCAATTTTAATTGTTTTTACATCACCATGCTAATTGCTTTCTGACACGATTATCTCTAATCTGCATGGCCTTCAGATGTATGCTCCACCCTTTTTCTTTTTTAGTTTTAATCTACTATATTTGCTTCTTTTTGAATATAGAAGTTTTACAAAAAAGGTATCATAATATTTATTTCTGGAGCAGTGAAACTGCATTTACCTTGCGATCCACTGGGCCAGACACGTCAATTTATACCATTTTAAAAAACCACGAGTCTCTTCTTTTAAAAATACAATACTTATACTTTATTTTTTTTCTTCTTAAGCTTATGCAGTTAGACCTCACCCCATCCTCATCAATAAATTAAGTGACTGCGGCATTGATGCCTGCACAGTTGGATGGGTAAAAAATTGGCTGATGGAGCGCACCCAGAGTAGCGGTGGACGGGTTGTACTCAACCTGGCGAGATGTGAGCAGTGGGGTACCCCAGGGCTTGGTCCTTGGGCCTGCACTGTTTAACATCTTCATCAGCGACTTGGACGAGGGGGTGGAAAGCACGCTGTCTAAGTTTGCTGATGACATTAAGATGTGGGGCGAGGTGGACACACCTGAAGGGGGAGAGAGGCTGCAACTAGATTTAGACTACATAAGTGGGCAGACGAGAATAGGATGGGGTTCAACGTAGATAAATGCAGGGTGCTGTACCTTGGGAGAAGGAATCCACAGCATACATACAGGCTGGGGAGTTTCCTTCTTGAAAGCACAGAGGCGGAAAGGGATCTCGGAGTCATTATTGACTCCAAGATGAACATGAGCCGCCAATGCCAGACCGCAGCCAGCAAGGCCAGCCATACCTTGTCATGCATCCAAAGGTGCATCTCAAGCCGGTCCAGAGAGGTGATACTCCCCCTCTATGCGACTTTGGTCAGGCCGCAGTTGGAGTACTGTGTCCAGTTCTGGGCTCCGCACTTCAAAAGGGATGTGGCCAGCCTGGAGAGGGTTCAGAGGAGGGCCACCCGCTTGGTGAGAGGGCAGCAGGACAGGCCCTACGAGGAGAGACTGAAGGACCTGAACCTGTTCAGCCTCAGCAAGAGGAGGATGAGGGGGGACCTGGTGGCTTCCTACAAACTCATCAGGGGAGATCAACAGCAAACAGGTAGAGCCCTTTTCTCCCCAGCACCACCTGGGGTGATGAGGAACAATGGTAATAAGCTGATGGAGAATAGCTTTAGGCTGGAGATCAGAAGGCAATATTTTACAGTTAGGGTGGACAAAATATGGAACCAACTTCCCAGGGAGGTGGTTCTTACCCCTACCTTGGGCATATTCAAGAGGAGGTTGGATGATCTCCTGTTGGGGTAGATGATCTGTTCAGGTCCCTCCTGACCCTAGCTAGTATGAAACTATGAAACCTCTTGGTACAAAGTTAGCCTGCTCCTTATTGACTGTCA